TTATTTCTGTGCTTACTCTTGGTCTTCCTTAGTGTTCATCACATATCTCCTAGCATAGAAAGTTCACAGAGGTTACACGTAGAGTATGTGCAGAAAGCAACTAGAAGGATAGTAAGGATCCTGTAAAAAATTGCCACTTTGGGAAACTGGGAGGATGGGAGTGGGGGCACTTTTGCTTTTTATGTTTTGTTCTTTTTGTACAGTTTGAATGTTTTCCCAAATTTACATTTCTCTTTAAAATGTACAAAGATTAATACATTTTTATTATAAAAATTAAAAGAGTAAAAATATATGTGCCCTCAGACCATCTCATCTCCTCTCCTGCCCCACCAGCCCTGGGAGGAATGGAAACTACACTGAGATCTTTTCGGTCTTCTACATTATGAGCCCCAGTGCACTTGACTATATGTTGAAAACTTTATCATTTTATTTCTCACAGATTGTTAAAGTGCTGAATTTGTATACGCCAGTTAATGAGTTTGAAGAAAGAGTCTCTGTGTCATTTATTCGTACTATACAGGTAAGATCACTCAAACACAGTTTTTTAATGGAAATTTTACAATTTGTTGAAGGATAATTTTTTAATTTTTCATCATATTTTTACAGTGCATTAAGTTTTTCTTGTAACAGCTTATTGGGAAAATGAAGTTAATTTAAAACAAATGTAAACATTCTTCATTAGTTGGGGAATTTTGGGTAGGATTTTTGGCAGAAGAAAATTATCTTTATAGATTCAAAAAACTGATGCTCTGCTTTTTTGTTTTTTGTTTTTTATCTTAGATGCGTTTACGAGACAGGAAGGACTCTCCTCAGCTGCTCATGGATGCTAAACACATCTTTCCCGTCACCTTTCCCTTTAACCCGTCCTCCCTCGCCCTGGAGACCATCCAGATCCCAGCCAGCCTGGGCCTGGGCTTCATCTCTCGGGTCTGAAAGCCACATCGAGGCAAAAGGACAGTACATTTCTTGCCTGAAATAAGAACCCCTTATTTCCAGTCAGCTACTGAAAACACATTTTAAAGAAGATGTTGTCATTATCTTCCAAACAAGAGGTTTTTAACTGGAAATCTCCCTAGAATACTTTCATCACCTCGGAAAGAAAGTCACATTCCCTTGTCCTGTTACCCATAGCACCGCGCACCCTTGTTCATTAGGTACCCCGAGTTCACATGCAGGTGTATGATGGGAGGAAGGGGGAAATGTATCTTGAGTTGCCAGCATTTATTTTAAATCCTTAGCACTACATCTAAATGGTGTAAAAAACCATAAATTCCAGATATGAGTGATTGGTAGGAAGATACCCACAGAGAACGTACTCTGTATAAACCAGAAGAAAATCACTATTGATTACATATCATATCAGTTTAGGAATCATGGTGATGTTGAACTGGATCACAGAAATCAACTACAGTAGGTATAATAGCTGGACAAGTAACATCCTTTATGTGTCATTATGATGTAGAGATATTAAGAAAATGCTGTTTTGCTGTATCACATAGAAGTCCATTTGCACTGTAGTTTCCTGAGCATTTTAAACTGCTGCTACATACTGGTTCTTCAACATGTAAGCGGTATTCTTGTTAGGTACTACGACAATAAGCTTCTCTTTTATCAACTCTGTTTACAGTACAATCAGATCAGTTTTAACTGGATTCTTTGCAAACATCTATAGATTCACCTGCACGAGTAGCAGACACTGGGAAGTCATGTAGTAATATGACAAAATGTTTGACATTCAGGGGTAGGATTAGACACAATGGCAGTTGTTGGTGTCTATTTATTCAGGACATATTACAGTGGTGTGCTCATTATTTTTCCCTGGTGGATACCACATCAGGGTACAGTGTTCTGTAAAGTGACTTATTTTTAGTTCCCAGATATGATTTCTGCAATGCATATAGTCAACCTTGACAGGTTTCCTTTCTTCTTAATTTATTAAGAATTAATCTCAGTCACTATCTAGAGAGCATTGTCAGAATATTCATGATTCAGGTCTTAAAACCTTGATTATCCTATAAATTATGCAAAAGAAGATGTGTAATGAATAATTATGATTATTTTTTTTTTAGCCTTCGCAATTTCTATAAATGTTCTCAGTAACGCTAGATACTATAAAGAGCATCGTATTAGAAATACTTTGACTTATATAAGAAATATTAGAAGATGGCTGAATTTTACAGAGAATTGGGCTTCATAAGACCCAGATTCTATGTTTTCATCCCTAAATTTTAATTAAACATACTCTGCATTTTTCCTTAAAAATCTTATACATAAATCTTTCAGGTTGTGCAAATACAAATCTTTAGCTTTCATCAGAAACTCTGGTTCTTCATTGCAATCATAGATTTATATAATTTAACTCCCAGATGGTTTATAAAAATGCATCTTATTAAAATATGTGCAATATTATTAATGGAAGTCAAACAGTTTAGAACCAGTGATAAAGACTTTATTAAAAGATAAATACTATCTGTTAACTTATTTGGGTCTCAGATTCCTCTTTTATAAATAAGAGGATTGGACAACTGACTCTTAAAATCCCTTCCACATCTAATCTCTTTCCTCTCGAGGCTTAGATCTTAGAGAAATGAGTTGTAGTTCCTCAATAAGTTTATCCTCTGATGTAGAGACCTGTGTTCAGTGCCTGTTAAGTCTGAGGGATTAATAAAACTATCACAAGTCTGTTTAGTTATAACCTTTCTTCAATGTGCATGATCTGTGCCCATGCTTTTAGAAAATTCATAGGTCTAGGTGATTTTTATTGAATCACATACTGCAAATAAATCAATTGGATACATTTATTTGCAAAACCAACCCAAAACTTTACTAATTCAATCAGATTCTCTCAGTTTTTGGTTTGTCACTGGTTTTCAGTGAACAATGAACTTATGGTTCATACTGAATGTGTCATAGTCTAAGAGCATGAGGGGGACTTGAGTGGGGAGAGGCTCACCATAAAATGCCACCAGCGGTAGGCTGTCCACCGAAGCCCCGACCTCCCCAGCTCAGTCCTGTGCAGCGTGTCCATGCGACCCTCAGTCTCGTCAGGTCTTCAAGATGCGCCGTGGCTCCCGCTGCCTTGCAGCCCCTTTCCTGCTCCCAGACAGCTCATGTCCTGAAGCATCTCGTCGAGGCCTTGGTCTCTCCCCGGACTGCTGTTCTGCTGGGCCAGAGGGCCTGTTCAAGGACTACCACAAAGTTCCGCTGTTCCAGGGCTCCCAGGCTGCCAGGACCCAGGTGGGGGTCGGAATTCACTTCTCTTAGCAGCCTGAAGACCTTTGGTCATGACAAGACTAGCCTCCTGAAGGAGGAGCCCCATGGCCTGGTAACGACTGCTACTTGAGGATGCAATCCTGTTCTGAGGACTGCTCACCTGCCCTTCTGTCCATCCACACTCTCATGCAGCTGCACACACTTCCGGCAGCTTCCACCTGCCCCTTTGTTCGCTCCCCCCCTTCCGTCGAGCAGTCCGTGCATTCCATCTCCTCTCTGACTGCATTGAAGGCTGCAGTGGATGTCATCAGTCCTCAGCTGCCCCCTGGCCCGCCTGGTGGTTTACCTGGAGGCTAGTCTGTAAAACTTGTTCTCTTCCTCTGTAGTACGTTTTTTAACATTATTACTAATTTACTTTTTCATAATTCCTCTGTGACACACATTAGGAATTCAACGATCTTGAAAGAATAGCAGTTCATTGTCTTAAGCCCTTCTTACTACTCAACTCCCTGCTCGCTCACATCTAGATTAGCTCGCACCTTGAATTCAAAGTTGAAAAATAAGAAGCAGTTTCCCTTCTTGTAGCTTTCCTTAGGTTAAGGCTTTGATCCACCTAGAGTAACTACAATGAAGGGGAAAGAAGAATATGGTATAAGATCCACAAATGTGGCTAAATGATTTCTTTGGAAGTTTTGAAAAATCCCCATGTACCTGACACTTCTTTTGTCAGGATAAAAGTACATATCTATATATTCCAAAGCCAACTTAAAGGAGATTTGGGGGTTGGGATCAGTTAGTATGATTTGCTTTATTTCAGTGGATAATTGAGAGTTGGCTCTTTCGGGGTAATAGTGCATAATATAGAGCAAATCTTTTCATAACAGTGGGGGAAACTATGAAAATATTTTAGTAGAACCTCAGTACAGTGACTATTGAGAAATTACTTTCCTGGTAACCCTAGGTAAAGAAGCAACTGTCACCATCTGAGAAGTCTCTCTCTCTCACACTCACTCTCTCAAACACACACAATCACCAGTTCATAGAGTTGCCCAGGAGGCATAATCAAGTATCCTCTGAGTAACTTCAACTACTTAGGATAAAACAGCAACAATTAGTGTTTGACCTTTAAATTCTCCTGTAGAACATACCTCGCATCTGGCTCTGCTTTCCTCCAGCGTGCTTTCTCGTTACCTCACTGTATCCTCGTAGCAGCACCTGAGGGTAGAACCGTGGCTAAGTCGTCTGCTGATGGTGATATGGGAGGTAGGTCCCGCAGCCCTCCACCCCAGCAGCTCTCCCCACAGCAGCGGCAAGTCCTGGGGTTACAGCTGTTCCTCGGTACCTGTGGGGTGCCCCGGGTCAGCAGGAGGTGCTCTTTCTCTTTATCAGAGTTGGCAGCTGGCATATGGGAGCTGAGCAATGAGCAATGAGACTTCTTTTTGCAGACGAGACGTCGCCTAGAGCCAGTGGTTTTCTTTCTGTCACAGTTGCCTGCTACCACTAGGCATGGCTTTGTAATTACCCAGTGCTCCCTTGCAGGGTGCAACGCTCTGTGTGTAGGTCATTCATTAGTAGCCGGCTGTCTCAGCCTGACGGAAAGCAGTGAACGCCTCCCAAAGTGATGAGGAAGGTCACTCTCCACACACCCCCTCTGTGAGAGCCAACAGGTGAGCTGTGAGAGCCACCAGGGAGCTGGGCAGCCCGTGGGGAACCTGCAGCTGCAGGCCAGGCCCATGGGTGCTTCTGAGAGTCACCCCCCGCCCGGCCGTGCACAAGTCAGGGTGTGCTTAGACGTTACTGTGTGTGCATGCTGCCAGTGTCTGCTTTGCGGCTAGGAGGTGTGCTGTATGCATGCGTGTTAGGGGGGCTGTGTGTCGCTGTGGCCTCCGTTCGTGGATAAGGTCATCGTCATTTCTTCTCAGGCCGTGCTGTGAGGGCCGCCTTAACCCCTGCTCCCTTCCCTCCTGGAGCTGCCTTAAGTTCTCCAAAACGTTTCCCCTGTACAGGGATGTCTTGCCTGGAGAGAATATCAAGTCCTGTTTCTCAAGTTCTCGTGAGGGTTTTGGTTGGGTGTGGCCTCCAACCACTAATTCCTTTCCCAGAGTCTGCATGCTCCTCCCCCACCTGTTCCTTCTTCCTTTCTTTTCTGTTATTTCCGAACAGGTAGTAGAACTCTGAGGCAGCAACAATCTCAGAGTCGATGGAATGTGGACTTAGAAAGCCTTCCTGAGTTTGGGGGTCAAGGGGTGGGAGGACTCTGTGTCACAAGTAAGCAAATGAACATATGGAAGAAATGTTAGATTTTTTGGTAGTATTTAAATGGCTTGTTTTCCACCAGCCTTTTCTTAATAAAGGTAAAGAGTACCACTGTAAAACTTTTCATGGGCATTCTTTAAAAATATTTTTTAAGAACCCGGTACTATAAAAGGTTGAAAACAAAAAGTGCTATAAATTTGAACCCCTAGCATTACCCTAAATTAAATCAGCCTGGAGTTAGTGGGTTTTCAGAAGATCAGGAACAGAGAAGTACTGTGTGACATATCTGCCAAAATGTGTTTTATACATTTTTTAATTTTATAATTCGGTCTAGCTAAAATGTTCACTAGCTTAACTTAATGGGTATTAGTAGAGTCATAAATATCTGAAATGACTAACCTTTTTAGTACTGTAATATTGCCTGAACTATTTGAAAGAAAAATGTTTTTGAGTTGAAACTGGATTGTATAATTCAATGCTTGGTAGGTGAGTACATTTTAAAGCATTTTTCAGAGTCAATAATTTCAAATGTCTTATTGTTGCCATATATTGTAAGATTTTAGCTCACATTTCAGGCTTTCTAAATCATTTGAGCCATTTATTTTTGTCCCAACAAATGCTGATATTTTACACATTAAATGTGGATATGTGTGTTGTAATTTATGATTCCTAGCTATGTATTTCTGTGGAGTCCTGGAGTACGGTTGACATTTTTGTTGGAAATTCTAATTGCTCTAACAGTGTTGCATAGAAATGAGCTCATGACATTTAACATATTGTATTTTAATTATTAACTTTAAATTGTTAATTTATTGTGAAATGGTTATACCATTTAACTAAAATGAAATTGAACATTGTAATTTTCCAAACAGTTTTTCTTCTTGGACCTGGAAAAGTTTTTAGGTACAGTATTCATTAAGGAAGCAGAAGTACTGAGAAATGAAGGAATTACCAACCAACTCTAGGTTTAAAGGAAACCCATCCCAGCATATCTCACAGGTAGTTTTTAAAAATAAGTTAATCACCTCATTTTAACAAGAGCCTTTGAAACATGGGTTTTTCACTAGATAGCATCTAGTGCTAAGATGGAAACCAAAACAATATCAGATTGACATTTAAGCTCTAAATTTGTAGTTGTCTAATGTTGTACTTAGTAAATGTGTGTCATTAATGCTGTATTCTCCTAGCTATTATAGAAAATTCTTCAAATAAAGATATGGATATAAAGGATTTTTGTTGGTGTCTTATAAATAAATCCACAACACATGAAACTTGGAATATATACCAAAATAGGCCACATTCTGGGCCAACTTTAAAATTTAAAAAATAGAAGTCCTATAATGTATGCTTTCAGATGAAAACAGAATTGAACTAGAACTCAATGACAAGAAAAATGGTTGAAAAATCTCCAAATACTTGGAGATTAAACAGCACACAAGGGCACATACTTTGGTTGCATGTTTGGGCAAAGTGGGAGGCAACCAGTTGATGTGTTTCTCTCCCTTATCCCTTTCTTCCACTTTGTTTTAAAAATCAATGGGAAAAATATCCTTGTAAGGATTTTTTAAAACTTAACTCAAGAAATATAGTTCTTTTAAAGGTAGGAATTAAAATGGTCCACTGGAAAAAAAAAATAAATCCATCACCACAAATATTGGTAAAAGAGAAGCAGAGGAATAAAAAAAGACCCGAGCCTTATAGAAAAGATGTCAATCATAAATCCAGCCAAAGCCGGTTCGGCTCAGTGGTAGAGCGTTGGTCTGCAGACTGAAAGGTCCCAGGTTCGATTCCGGTCAAAGGCATGTACATTGGTTTCGGGCACATCCCTGGTAGGGGGTGTGCAAGAGGCAGCTGGTAGATGTTTCTCTCTCATCGACATTTCTACCTCTCTATCTATCTTCCTTCCTCTCTGTAAAAAATCAATAAAAATAAAAAATCATAAATCCAACCACATCAATGGTTACATTAAATGTGAACGGATTAAACACTTCCACCAGAAGCAGAGATTGTGAAACTGGATTGAAAAAACAAAAAAGCAATAACAACAAACATGGCCCAACTGTATTGCTGTCTATAGATTAACAAACATGGGTTGAGAAAAAGAGAAAAATATATCAATCCCATTCAATATTGAAAAAAAACAAACAAACTAGGAGTAAGAGGAACTTCATGTATGGAAAGACCTACTGCTAACCTTATAATTAATGACAACAAAACACAAAACAAACCAACAAAAAAATAGAATACTTTCCCCCCTAAATTGGGAACAAGGCAAGAATGTCTATTTGTTCTTACCACTGCCACTCAACATTGTGCTGGTGGTTCTAGCCAACTCAATAGGCACATACGAAAATAAATGCACCTACGCTGAAAAGAAAGTTTAAAAAAGTATTCATTTGCAAATGACACTTTGTGAAAAATCCTAAGGAATCCACAAAAATTTTCTATAATAAATTCAGGAAAGGTCACAAGATATATAAAATCAATTACATTTCTATATATTAATATTAGCAATAAACAATTGGGAAATGAAATTAAGAACTTATATAAAGGCCGAGACCGGTTTGGCTCAGTGGATAGAGCGTCTGCCTGTGGATTGAAAGGTCCCAGGTTCGATTCCAGTCAAAGGGCATGTACCTTGTGCAAGAGGCAGCTGATCGGTGACTCTCTCTCACCGATGTTTCTAACTCTCTATCCCTCTCTCTTCCTCTCTGTAAAAAATCAATAAAATATATATTTTTAAAGAACTTATATACATACATAATAGCATAAAAAAGAATAATATGCCTGAGAATCAAGTTAGTAAAAGAAGTGCCAGGCTTGTACACTGAAAACTACAGAACATGGCTTAGCCATCTTGCAGAAGTTTTCCAGCAATCCACACACTTCCCAGAGGCTGGTGCTCAACCAGGATGGGACTTTTGGCCATTAAAAAAAAAAAAAAAAAAAAATGAAATAATTGTACAATTTCCCCAAAGTCCTGCTAGGGTTTTTGTTCCGAATATATTACGCTTATATATTATTTATTTGGGTAGAATTGACACCTGTACAACATTAAATATTCCCATCCATGAAAATCACACGTCTCCCCATTTTCCTGAGGTCTTCTTTTATGCCCACGAAGGGAAATTTAAACATTTTCTCCACAAAGGCCAAGTGCTTTTTTGTTAGTGTAATTTCTGGACATTTCTTATTTCCGTTGATATTATACATACCTTATTTTCCTATTATCCTTTCTTCGTATTTTCTAAATGGTTATTGTGGTTATATATAAAAAAAAAAAAGCTACTCATCTTTATATTTTATTTTGAATATGGTCACCTGGCTGAACGAGATCTCACAAGTTTGTTGCTTCTCCTGGGTTTTCTATGGAAATGGTCATACCCTTCTGCTCTGGACGGTACACACGCAGCGGCTTACGGAGCTGAAGCCGCGGCCGGACAACCGGGACGCACCTGCCTCCCGCGGGGCCGGCGGCGCCTGGCGCTCCGCCTGGTTCCTGGAGGGGCGCTCGGCCCGCGGGGGGACCACTGCACCGGGGGACGGGGGGGAGGGTCGCGCCCCGCCCCGCCCCCGCCCCGGCCAATCGCGGCGAGGAGTCGGGCCGGAGGGACCAATCGGCGCCGCCCTCCCCGGGCCGCCGCCCTGGGAAAGTTGGTGGAGCCGCAGGAAACTTCTCCCGCTGGACGTCCCGGCGCTGCCCGCGGCGCCCCGCACCGCACCTCCCGGGCCCCAGAGCCGCGCGTCGCCCGGTCACCCCGTCACCCCCGTTGCCCCGTCTCGGCCTCGAGCTGCCCAGGCCCCTGCGCCCATGGCGGTGGCCGCGCTGTACACGCAGGTAGGCGGGGGCGGGGGCGGGGGCGGGGGCGGGGGGAAGCGGCGGCGGTGCTGACTGCACCTGTGCCGCCGCCCCGGGGCACCTGGCGCGCCCGCTGCCCGGAGGGGCCGCGGAGCCCGGGAACGAGGGCGCGGGGAGCCTCGCCCCCCGAGGACCCGGGTCCCTGTCCGTGGGGAAGGCGCCCCGGACGCCTGGGTCCCCTCGGGACTGGAAGACCGAGTGTCCCGGGGCCGTCTCCGCGGCGCTCGTCCCTCTTCCCGAGCCACAGGTGCAATCTGCTGCCCGCGGGCTCGCAGAAACCTCAGACGCGGGAGAATAAGCGCGTCCATCGTCTTCCCGGACCTCCGGGAGCCTCACATCGCTGGGCTCAGAAGTGTAGGAGCGCTTTGGGGGCTGCTTTCTGGACTTACCGGGTCTTCCGAAGGCCGGCGCGCGTGTTTAAGTTCCTCAGAGGCCGGAGCTGCCCTGCCTGGACGGCTGGCCCAGGCCTCACCTACACGCTGGGGGCTTCTAGGAACCCAGGCGCCGACTCAGGCTCCTCACCCAGCACTGCTGCGGTGCTGGCAGTTTGTAAACCACCTTCCATACCCACCCCTGACCGCAGGAATCACTAGAGCATATCCATGGGGGCCGAGGGCTCCACAATTTAGGTGGGGAGGATGGCATTCCCACACAGTGTCCAGAACTTTCTTAGATGGCCTTGGTTAATAATTGGGATAAAAAGTGTGAAAAAGTGTTGGTCCTTTCGAAAAAAATCCACTTCAATCGCCATAAAGCCAGGTCCTCCTATACCCTTCATCCTCAGGATTCAAATTGATGAGACTACAGCCCATTCATTTCTCCTGACACATGCCCCATCTTTATATTTAAAGACATTGTTGCTATAGATGGAAACAGTAGTTGTAAGTAAATATTTCAGTGGCCCAAGCAATCCTTTTCTTCTACCTTGTTTAATTTGTAACAGACGTTTTCCCCTCTAATGCATGTGCTCCCATTAACTAGTGTTCTAAACGGACAGTGTTTGAATTGCCTCTGTTCTAGGCAGGTTTTACCAATGAGAGTATGAGCTATCAGATAGCCAACAGTGCTTCTTTGGTCTTCAATTTACTGGCAATAAAAAATAAAAAATAAAAACAACCAAAAAACAAACAAAAAAAACTTGAACAAAATTATTCTTGGAAGATACTTTGGAGGACAGAAAAAACTGTTAACCCATTTTAAGTAACAATCCTTCCCACTCCCTATCATCAAGTGCTCATAAATATATGTAGGTTTACAGTTGTGAGTACATGAAACACAGAGTTTATTCTTAGACTAGAGACTCAGTGCATGAATTCGTGCACAGGTGGGGTCTGGCCGGCTCATCGGATGGGGGCCCATCAGGCTGGGCTGATGGGGAGGAGAGACTGTGGGCCATTGGCTGGCCAGCCCTGCCCCCAATCAGGGTGTTGGGGGCCAGGCCGGCCGAGGGGGGTGGAGAGGCCTGATTGGGCCTGTATCAGGCTTGTTGGATGCCACAGTGTGTGTCATAGCCACTGGTCATTCCAGTCATTCTGGTCATTCCACCATCTGGTTGCTGGGATTTTATATAGATAGTTTATTAATTATTGTATTATTTATTTGTATTACAACTGTAAACCTATGTTTGTCCACCGTATATGAAATGCTAACTCGGACCAGGCATAGTGTAGGAAAACGGATGTGGAAGAGTTTTCTAGAGATGAGCTTGAATGGATAGAGAATCTGAGAATCCCAGAGCCAGAAGAGCCTTGATGGCTGCCCCTACCCACGTTGTGCCCAAGGAGGCACAGGTGTCTCTAGGCTGCCACCTTCCTTCCATACAGGCAGTCAGCCCCCCATGGTGTCAATTTCAGAGGTGCATGCTCCTCCGTTTGTGTAGCTGCCTGTTTAGGCTTTAGAGAGCTTACTTCGTTAAAGATTTTTTTTTTAAATATATATATACTCAATTTTTCTTTTCCCACATTCCTCTCACTACCCTATTTCTCTCACAATGAAAAAAAATCTACAAAGTAGCCCCAGGTGGTTTGGCTCAGTGGATAGAGCGTTGGCCGTAGGACTGAAGGGTCCTGGGTTCGATTCTGGTCAAGGCATATGCAATGGTTGTGGGCTCGATCCCCAGAGGGGGGCATGCAGGAGGCAGCCAATCACCGATTCTCTCTCATCATTGATGTTTCCATCTCTCTCTCACTCTCCCTTCCTCTCTGAAATTAATAAAAATATATATTTTTAAAAACCTACAAAGTATATTGTGTACATTTTCAAAGAAGGAAAATGGTAATATATATTCTCATATATTCTTTACTATTCTTTTCCATATCAGCACACACTTCATTTTTAAAATTTATTTACTGACTTTAGAGAGAGAGAGAGAGATAGGGAGGAAAGGAGGTAGAGAAGAAGGGAGGTGTTATTTATGATTCAGTGGTTGTATGTGCCCTGACCAAGGATGGAACCCACAACCTTGGCATATTGGGATGACTCTCTAACCAACCTAGCTACCCGGCCAGGGCAGCATACACTTCATTATAACTTACGTTCAATAATATTTTGTATTACTTTCAGGTGAATAGCATAGTGGTTAGACATTCATATACTTTACAAAGGGTTTCCCCCAGTTTTTCGAGTACCCACCTGGCACCATACATAGTTATTATAATATCATTGACTACATTTCCTATGCCGTACCTTACATCCCCACAGCTATCCTCCAACTACCCACCTGTACTTCTCAATCCCTTCACCTTTCCACCCAGCCCAACCACCCTCCCCTCTGGCAACCATCAGTCTGTTGTCTGTATCCATGAGTCTGTTTCTGTTTGTTTGTTCATTTACATTGTTCTTTAGATTCCACATATAAGTGAAATCAAAGATTTCTTTCTTAGATGAAATCTAAACCCTCTCCCTTGCTTCCCTACCACTCCCCCCGTTTCCCCCACCCCACCCCTGATCCACCCTCCTGAGTCTAAAGATCTGGCCGATTGTCCTAGAATGTCAGCCCACAGGCTTGGCCTAAGTCAAATGACTGGAGACCCTTAGCCACATTGAACCCACACACCATCTTAGACACACAACGTTTTAAAACAACCTGAAGCTCATTTCTGCACCCCGGCAAATAGGGACCCTGCAGTAGGGTGGCAGGTGGGCTGCCCATTCAGGGCTCCCTGTGTGGCAGCCACACCGACCCCATGGTAGCTTGGCTGCCCCAGTCACCCCCTCACACAGTTACCTGCCTGGCCTCTGTCTGATCTCTTCCTGCCTAGCTCTTGAAGACAGGTACTCTCTCCCATAAAATATTTACTGGGCACTTTCTGTATATAAAACTTGATGCTTGGGGAAGGTCAGAAAGTGTTGTGTGGGTTTTTAAGTGATAGTCCTGCCTCTCAAGGAGTTTTCTGATTGGTGAGAACTGGGAAATGACGCGTCACCCAGCCTGCTAAGGCGTAGAAGGCAGGGAGGAGCATGGTGGGCAACAGAGCCAGAAGGGGAGGGTCATGGCAGCCAGAGGTAGGCCAGGGCCTCACACTCCTGTGAAGGTTTTAAGGGGGGAGGGAGACAGGATCAAGGTGCTTTAGGAGATAGGTGTGCTGGCAGGGCCTGTGGGACTCTGTGCCCGTGGGAGAGAGGCCAGGGTCGCATTGCTGAGGTGTCAGGTGAGGTTGGCTGCCGGGAGAGACTTAGGGCTGCAGTACTGGAAACGGAGGATGAGGCAGCGTCCAGAGAGCATGTGGAGACGGTAAGAGGAAAGACCGGACTGGCGTGTGTGCGGGAGAGGGACGAGCAAGGATGACATGGAGGTGAGCGTCTGGATGGTGGGGGTGGGGGCGCACCATTGACACAACGAGGGACAGCAGGAGGCGGGGATGTTCCTTAGGAAAGTCCTGAGGCAAATCCCTGCCAGGGTTGAGGTGGTGGGGCTTCCCGGTGGTTGCAGGCTGGTGGACTCCAGAGGATGGGCCAGGAGTCCTGTGCCCGGAGGTGGAGTTGAGGCCCAGGCAGTGCGGGCCTCACCAAGGGAGAGAAAAGGCCAAGACAGGCCCCTGGGAAATCTGATCAGGGAGGGAGGGAAGTGGAGGGGCCTGGGCGAGAGCCAGGACAGGGAGGAGGAGACAGGAGAGCCGGCATGGCATCGGAACCGAGGAAGAGAGGTTCCGAGAAACAGGGACTCCTGGGAGGAAGTGGTGAGAGCAGCAGTTGCTTCGGGGAAAGTGTACATCCACCCGTCTCTTTTCCAGTGCCGTTTGGTGACATGCCTGAGAAATGTACAGAGCACTTGCCCAGCAGTTCCACGCTGGGAAAACCAGTCTGGTCATTCTCTTCCTGAGGCCTCGAGAGGCTCAGTCACTTTCAGACACGCTAACCGGCCATGAGGTCCCGCCTCTCCGCCTCACCTCCCAGCCCCCTGCCCACCAGCTCCTGCCTAGGCACATGCTGCACTGACTTCTTTGTTTTAAAATTTTTTTTTATTGATTAAGGTATTACACATGTCCATATCCCTCCATTGTCCCCCCTACCCCACTCCCATACATGCCCTGACCCTCAGTGTTTTGCATCCATTGGTTTTACTTATATGCATGCATACAAGTCCTTCGGTTGATCTCTTACCTCCCTCCCCTTTCCCCAGCCTTCCTGCTGTAATTTGACAGTCTGTTCGATGCATCTTTGTTTATCAGGTTATAATGTTCTTTACTATTCATAAATAAGTGAAATCATGTGGTATTTCTCTTTCACTGACTGGCTTATTTCGCTTAGCATAATGTTCTCCAGTTCCATCCATGCTGCTGCAAATGGTAAGAATTCCTTTTTTTAAAGCAGCATAGTATTCCATTGTGTAGATATACCATAGTTTTCTAACTGCTGATGGGCATTTAGGCTGTTTCCAAATCTTAGCTATTGTGAATTGTATTGTTATGGGGAGAGCTGGGCTGGAGGACTCAGTGGTACACAGTCTTGGAAGCTGTGTTGTGAGAAGACCAGGAGGG